ATCAGGTCATTTATAATGTAACTAATCATCTACAGAATGAGTCTACAGAATGAGTTCTAGGACCTCCTGATTGACAGAGTGAGTTCCAGGATAGCCAGGGCTACACAAATAAACCTCGTCTTGAAAAAAAAAAAACAGAAGAAAAAAAAAGATTTTGAACTTAAAAATTACATTTTTGAATTAAAACTCTTCTAGCATCAAAATAAACTTTAAGCCATAGATACAGTTCATGGGGAAACTGGACTGTTTTGTTGTGACTCACTTTCTCCCAATGGTTAACGCCTAACAAAGTTTGAAAGACATAAATGATTAGACATACTTTTTAATTAGACAAATATTTTAAGCCACATTTTGTTACCATGAATGGATCATTATAACCTTATAAATTTATAAATATTAATCATCAAGCAAATATCACCCTTAAGTTCATCCCCCATAAACTTTGGATAGTGTACTCAGACCTCCTACAACTTGGGTTTAAGCTTTTATGGTATTTTGTCGTCATCTTGAAGGGCTCTCTAACTAAACACCAAGGTCTGACAGTCAAAAGTCATTATTTGGCTACCCTGGCTAAACTGTTCACTCAGTACTTACCAACTCGCCCAAGCACAGTCTGTTCTAAAAAAACCCAAAAAACTCAGATCACTTAAAAATTCCTTTTCTAACTAGAGTATCTTCTTTTGTTTTTATAAGAATTTCTGATGTCAAGAAACTATGGCCGCCTTCCTCCAATTATGTATTTCCTACTCATCCTCGTACTCCCTGGATCTCTATTTACTTGTTACGTGCTAGGGACCATAGAAGTGAACAATGATGTTGGGTGGTGGCTGTGCACGTCACGCACACCTTTAATCCTAGCTCTCTGCAAGCAGAGGCAGATGGATTCCTATGAGTTCAAGACCAGTCTGCTCTACAGAGTGAGTTTCAGGACAGACAGGACTACGCAGAGAAACCCTGCCGGGGGTCAGGCAATGACGACAGAACAAATTATCATTTTACAGGCCCAAGAGTATGCACTAAGAATCAGACTCTATCCCTTTCCTGCCAGTAAATAGAAAAAAGAGACACAAACTATAGGTTAGTTAAAAAAAAAAATCTGCTCTATAGGTGATCTGTGACAACCTTGTCAATTTCATGGGATTTATAATCACCTAGGAGACAAACTTCTAGGCTGTCTGGTCAAGAGTGTTTTTCTAGAGAGTTTAACTGAGGTGTGAAGACCCACCTTGACTATGGGAAACAGCATCCAATGGGCTGGGACCTAGGACTGAATAAAAAGGAGAAAGCAGGTGAACCTTGCCTTTATCTCTCTCTACTTCCTGATACCAATGTAACAGGATCAGAGACTCCACACTCCTGCTTCCAAACGTACCTTGCCATGACAGAGCACCCTAAAACTGGGTGCTAAAAGAAATCCTTCTAGCAACTACTTTTGTCAAGCATGTTACCAAGGCAATGAAAAAAGCAAATAGCACACTATCCATTTTTTTTTTACTTTTATTTATTTATTTTGTTTTTTTGAGACAGGGTTTCTCTGTGTAGTTTTGGAGCCTGTCCTGGAACTAGATCAGGTTGGTCTTGAATTCACAGAGATCCCCCTGCCTCTGCCTCCTGAGAGCTGGAATTAAAGGTGTGTGCCACCACTGCCTGGACTTCCATTTTATTTTTAAAGGCAGGGTCTCATGTAGTCTAGGTTGGTCTTGAACTCATCATATAACTGAGGATAACTTTGAACTTCTCATCTTTCTGTTTCTACCTCCTAGGTCCTGGAATTACAGGCATGTGCCACCATGACCAGTTCATGCCAATGCTAGGGATTGAATCCAGGGTCCTATGTGTGTTCACTCTCCTGAGCTATACCCCAGCCCGCTCATTTTCAGTTAAGAAAAAAAAAAAAGAACCTCAGAAATGATGCAGGTTTTCTAGAATGATGGAACCTTTCGCTGACCAATTTTACGACCCAGTGACCTAAGATGTTGGACGCTTATGGCCACCAGAGATCAACCTGGAACAGTGTTCTAAGCTTGTTGTCTAAGGCAAATGGAGACTGATGGTGTGGACTCATGTGGGAGTATGCAAAGTAGAAGAAGACTTTATAAAGAATTATTGCATAAAAGTGGAAAAATGAGAACCTAAGAAAAAGGTAGAGAAACTTCCAAGACCGAGAGGGGTTTCCAAAAGAAGACGAAACAAAAAACAAAACAAAACCTTTAGCTATTCTATGGGCTATTACCGACCAAGCCATACTCTGTGCATGCCCTCCCTCACCCCAGACCCAACCAGAGATGACGTTATCTACTCTTTAGCTGCTCTCTGCCCTTTAGGGGTCTGTCTCTGACTTACGCTATTAGCTGGTGGGACCCAACCTTGCAGATGTCTGGCTGGCTGCTTACTTAGACTATGTTTTCCTTGTTCCCACATCTGCACAACCAATGTGTAGCTTTTCCATGGCAGAGAGTTAGCTCTATTACATCCCCCAAAGGAGCTGCACTTTTTCAAGTTTACCTCCTACCAAGTTCCTGGTGTATGGGGTGGTCTGAGCAGTCTCCTAGGTAGGAACTATGGTTAGCAGCCATCTTTACTTACATTTTAGTCTATTACAATTAGCAACGTTAGCAGCAAGAGTATATGAAAGGACAGTCGTGTCTCACATCTGCTCCTCAAGGGCTTCAGGGGACTAGATGGCTTCTCATCGCTGGCCCAGAGCCTTGTCCTTCCTGTTATATATTTAGCTTGGACGCATCATCCCAGCTACAAGCCCTGTTACTCATTTCCCTGAGTGCTCTAGACTCTGCCATCTTGGCTCTTAATCCTTTTAACTCCAGACTCTGCAGTTTTCACCAGGGGCCCTTTTCCCCCTACAGACACAGAACAAGGCCTGCATCGCACAGGGAGCCTTAGCGATTCAGATTACCATAAACAGTTAAGACCCAAAGCCACTCTTCACCCTGCTACCTCCATCCATTTGGGGCTGCTCACATGCTAGCTACATTTCCAGCTTTTGTTGTTACTGTTTTTAGGACAGAATTTTCCATACAGGCCAGGCAGCCCTTGAATTTGCTCTCTTCTGCTTTAGCTTCCAAGTATGGGTTTACATGCGTAATGCTCAGCTCTCAAACAAATTCTTAAATAACTTCTGTAGTTTTCTGCTTGTCAGAAAAGCATGTGCCTAGAAGAAAAAGGGCAAAGATTTTACTAAGGGAAAATTACTTTTTTGTTTATTTTATTTTTCTTCCACTGAAGGCTTTTGTGGGTTTTTTGTTTGTTTATTTGTTTTGCTTTGTTTTGGTTTTTTTTTAAAAAAAGATTTATTTATTATGTACACAACATTCCTTCCATGTATGCTTGCATGCCAGAAGAGGGCACCAGATCTCATTATAGATGGCTGTGAGCCACCATGTGGTTGCTGGGAATTGAACTCAGGACCTCTGGAAGAGCAGTCAGTGCTCTTAACCTCTGAGCCATCTCTCCAGCCCCTTGATTTTTGTTTTTTAAGACAGGGTTTCCCACCGGGTGGTGGTGACTCACCCCTTTAATACCCAGCACTCAGAAGGCAGGGGCAGGCAGATCTCTGTAAGTTTGAGGCCAGCCTGGTCTACATTGTGAGCTCTAGGACAGCAGGACTGTTTCACAGAGAAACCCTGTCTTGGAAGAAAAAAAAAAAAGACAGGGTTTCTCAGTAGCTATGGAGCCAGTCCTGGAAGTTACTCTGGAGGCCAGGAGAGATGGCTCGGAGGTTAAGGGCTTTTCTAGAGGTCCTGAGTTCAATTTCCCGCAACCACATGGTAGCTTATAACCATCTGGGATGAGATCTGGTGCATATATTCAGGCAGAACAATGTATACATAATAAATTTTAAAAATCAATACATATATATTTGGTTTTTCAAGACAGGGTTTCTCTGTGTAGATTTTGAGCCTGTCCTGGCACTTGCTCTGAAGACCAGGCTGGCCTCGAACTCACAGAGATCAGCCTGCCTCTGCCTCCCAAGTGCTGGGATTAAAGGTGTGCACCAACACTGCCAGGCTAAAATATATCTATATTAATTATTGTGATAAATCCATAGATCCCTCAATAGAATTTCTATCAGGTCTCCATCTACCACATTTAAAGTTCAAGGACAATTTGGGATCAGGAAAATAGGACATGAAGGAAACACTATGTTAAAACTAAAAGCTGTTCACTTGAACTACACTTTATTATCCTTAAGAATCAAGTGTTAGCAGGGCTTGGTGGCACACACTTTTAATCCCTGTACTCGGGAGGCAGAGGTAGGAGGATCTCTGTGAGTTCGAGGCCAGCCTGGTCCACAGAGCGAGTGCCAGGACAGCCAGGGCTACAGAGAAACCCTATCTAGAAAAACAAACAGAACCAAATGTTGTACAGAGAAAGGCAGGATAATCCAATTGGTCATTCATATAAGATAAACCAAGAAATATCTTTCCCTTCTCAGCCACAAGGCAAGAAAAGAAAAATTTCTAAAAATTCAGCACTAATGAATGACATGATGGCCAGTCAGGGCAGTAGAGATGACTTCGGTGTCCTTTGCAACTTCCCTCACTGTGTCCAATTTCTCGTAGTTTAGTCAATCCACAAGTTCCTTCCCCTTGACTAGGAGTGAAGGAAGTAACCGCCTCACGGTGACAAGCCCATTTAGGACCCAGAGGCGCGTGGTCATCTCCGTAGCGACAGGCAGCCTGATTATTCTCAACTGACCTTGAGAATTTGGAAGTTGCGTGGGACTGCTGAGTGTGAGGGGGCCGCAGCCTACGCAGCCGCCTGCCGTACCGCGTGGGCACAGCCGCCCTCGGAACCTTCGCCTCCGGCCCACGCTCCCGCGCGGCCCTCCCCACTCGGTCCACCCTGCCATTATTTCTTCTCCGTTTCTTGACCCCTCAGGTGAGCTGGGCCTCTCGACTCAGCCTCCCTACCGTGACGTAACCTGGGAGAGGGCAGCCCCGCCCGCGGTGTGACGTCATCACGCCGCGCGGCTGCCGAGCCCGGAGCCTGGAGTACCACAGAGACTGCTCCGCAGCGGCTGGTCCGGGCGGCGGCGGCGGCGCTCCGGCTGGTCAGCCGCCTGTGAGCCCCGCGTCCAGCCCATCGGCTCGGGCGGCCACGGAGCCCAGGTGAGTGGGTGCGGCCATGACATCTTTCCTTCCCCTTCTGCCCTCAGCCTGGGGCGCGGCCTTCCCCCAGCCCCGGTACCCCCCGAGTCGGGCGGAGACGCGGTGGGGCGCCGCGGGATTAGTGCTTGAGGTCTCAGCTCCTCGGGAGCAGCCCCTGCCTGCCCCGGGAGAAGGTTTCACCTGGAAGGAAAGAATTCCGCCGAGAAACAGTTAAGGAGAAGTTTATTTAACAAAGCAAGGCTACACACGCCCAAGCTTAGAGTGGGCTTTCTCGGAAGATAGGTGGGTGCAACACATTGGGGTCTGCGTTGTGGGATTTAAAGAAGTTTTTTTCAGAGAACTAATGAGGTGCTTAGTATATCCGTTGCATGGATGTGAGATGACATTCCTTCCCTCCCAAATTATAATGAATCTCATTTCCCCTTGTAGGGCACCTCCCCCGCCCCCTCCCTCGCCAAGTGATCTTGAAAAGAGTCAAACCGCAACACATTGTAACGAGGATGCAGATCCTTCTTTAACGTGCATGTTGGTAATTTGTTAAGTACTCTGATGCCTTGGTTTCGGATACACTGGGAATATCCTTAATGTAGTTTCACGGATGCTCCACCACAGAGGTGTATGCTGACTATGGGAAGGCTTAGTGCAGTTTGATTGATTTCCTTGGTTCTGGCACGCGTTAAGTCCTCCCTAACCAGGAGACACAGCCACCAAGATACAGATGGAGTTTTCTGTGATTACCGGATATCTAACCACTTGCCTGCCTAGGTCGCTCTAATACTTGATGAAAGTAAGCTTGGCTTTAGGGGAAGAACTTCATTATTTTTTTTTCTCTTCATTTTAGACTTCTAGAATTTGGTGCCCTTCCCTCTCTTCAGATATTAGCCGTTCTAGAATGCCCGTTCCTGAAAGGTGCAGAACGTGCTCAGGCTTTGTGCTGAGAGAGAGGTTGCTACCCTGAGGTTACTGTCACTTTGGACACCAACCTTAAGTTCCCAGCCACAAGCTGAGCCCTGTAGCAAGACTTCACGAAAATTTCATAATCTTCAGATACTTCTGAGAGGTCAGCAAATCCCCAGAGTTTCTTGCAGCTCACAATTGGAACTATGTTGACTTAAGGAAAGGTTTTAAGAATAAAAAAAAAAAATTACTTTCGAGAATCATCCCCTATTTTGTAAAATAGATGTTGCGGAGTTGTTGGAGGGAGGGTCGAGAGTGCTTTTGATGAAACTAAACAAAAGATGAGGACTTCAAACCTCAATTTTACTTTTCAGAAATTCTGATTGTGAACTTTGGAAGAAGAGTTTCTTTCTTTTCTTGGTTCATTTCAGGAAGTTTTGCATCCCAAGTAAAAGTTTGCTCTTATAACCACTTTCGTCTCATTCTCCAGAAAGTGTTCTGAGGAGGAAAATAGTGTGACTAAAGTCTGTCCACTCAGGAAAATATTCTTCTCATTGCCTTTCACATACATAACTATTCAATGGATGCATACAAGCAAACTTTGCAATTCTGGTCATTCTCTGATACCCATAGGGAACTGGTTCCAGGAATCCCCAGATACCAATATCTGGGTGTGCTGGTCTTTGGTTTGGTTTGTTGAGATGGAGCTCTGTCTGGCTTGGAACTCATTGTGTAGACTAGGCCTCCAGCTTGCAGCGGTCTCCCTCTGTCTTCCGAGTGCTTGGATGACAGGGGATATATATAGCACCACACCTGGCTCTGAAGTCATGTGTAAGGCCATGCATAGCATTTGCATAGACTCCGTGCACATCCTACATTAAGGCAGTTCTGGGTTACTTAGCATACCGAAAACAGTAAAATTGTTGTTTTGTGCTGACTGGTTTTATGTCAGTGTGACACGCTGTGATCATCTGAGAGGAGGGAACCTTAGTTTTAAAAAAAGGCCTGTAGAAGATCAGGGTGCAGTCAAGCTGGTATGGCATTTTTGTAATTATTAGTGATTGATGGGGGAGGTCTTAGCTCACTGTGCCACCCCTGGGTTGGCGGTCCTGTGTTCTGTTAAGAAAGTAGGCTGAGCCAGGTGGCACGCGGGAGGTAGAGGCACTCGGATCTCTGAGTCGAGGCCAGCCTGGTTTACAAGAGCTAGTTCCAGGACAAGCACCAAAGCTATCCAGAGAAACCCTGTCTCCAAAAACCAAAGAAATAGTGCACTCTTTAATTCTGGCACTTGAGAGGCAGAGGCAGGCAAATCTCTGTGTGCTCAAGGCCAGCATGATCTACAAAGCAAGTTCTAGGATAACTAGGGCTACACAGAGAAATCCTGTCTCGAGAAACCAAAAAGAAAATAAGAAAGAAAGTAAATTGAGAAAGTCATGAGGAACAAGCCAGTAAGCCATCCCTCCATGGGCCTCTGGACTAGCTCCTACCTCCTGAAGTATCCGTTCCCACCTGATTTGAGTTCCTACCTCTGCTTCCCTCAGTGGACTGTGATGCAGGATATGTAAGCCAAATAAACCCTTACCTCCCCACATTGCCTTTTTGTTTGTGTTTCTTTATTCTTTTTTTAAGAATATTTTATTTATTTATTTATGTACACATTTGTTTGTGTATGGATATCGAATTCCCTGGATCTGGGATTATAGACAGTTGTGAGCTGCCATGTGGGTGCTGGATTGAACCTGGGTCCTCTGGAAAAACAGCCAGTGCTCTTAACCACCAATCCATCTCTCCAGCCCGTTTGTTTTTTGAGCTAGGCTTTCCCTGTGTAACTAGCTGTCCTGGAACTCTCTCTCTATACCAGGCAATCCTTGAACTCAGAGTTGTCTCCTGAGTGCAGGGATTTAAAGGCATCTGCCACCACGCCCAGCTCCCAATTTCCTTTTTTTAAAAATATATTTTAATTTTTTTTAATTAATTAATTTATTATGTATGCAGTGTTCTGCCTGCGTGTGTGCCTGCAGGCCAGAAGAGGACACCAGACCCCATTACAGATGGTTGTGAGCCACCATGTGGTTGTTGGGAATTGAACTCAGGTTTGGGAGAGCAGGCAATGCTCTTAACCACTGAGCTATCTCTCCAGCCCTCCCAATTTCCTTTCTGATCATGGTTTTTTATCACAACAATAATAACCCTAACTAAGACAGTGTTATTATTTAGGGAAAGTAATAAAAGTCTGTGCATATTCAAAATCAATACTTTTTGAATATTTTGCTCATCGCTAGGTTGAATCCAAAGATGTAGATTAGTAGAATTCAGAGGCAGAAGAGGTACCTTGCTGAAGTTAGCTAGATTGTGGTAGTGGTGCCAGGGTCAGGAATGCTCTGTATGTGGCTGTTTGTGTTGAAGGAAGCCCCCTTTTTAGTCCTTAATTTGTAAAGCTCAGTGTGTGTTCGTTTTCTCATTTCTTCAAATATATGATCTCTTTCCTTGTTGTAGCTATATTGTCCAAGGATTCCTCTGTTCTTTCTTCATAGTGCTTGATGGGCGGCATTATGGCCCCCAAAGACATAATGACAAACACTCACGCCAAGTCCATCCTCAACTCAATGAACTCCCTCAGGAAGAGCAGCACCCTTTGTGACGTGACCCTGAGGGTGGAGCAGAAAGACTTCCCTGCCCATCGGATTGTGCTGGCTGCTTGCAGTGACTATTTCTGTGCCATGTTCACTAGTGAGGTAAGTGCAAGTCATTCTCTTATGTCATAGAGCACGTGTTGGTGATTAGACTGATCTGTCTGGCCAGCTAGGTCAGTGTCCCTTTCTTTATCACTCTTTGTTGTGTGGCTTCTGAAGGGGCTGTTCAGTTGAAGATGTTTCCCAACAGAAGACCATTCTTTGGTCAAGAGTGTAGGAGCCCTGCCCTGTTAGAACTTCCTAACAAGCTTTCAATAAAAATATAGATTTGAAACCAGAAGCCGGGCGGTGATGGCGCACACCTTTAATTCTAGCACTTGGGATGCAGAGCCAGGCGGATCTATGTGAGTTCAAGGCCAGCCTGGTCTACAGAGATAGTTCCAGGATGGGCTTCAAAGCTACATAGAAACCCTGTCTTGAAGAAAAACAAAAACAAAAATAAAACTTTGAAACCAGAAATTGTGGCTTACTCACAGTTATAATGCCGACACTTGGGAAGCAGAAGCAGGAGAATCATCATAAATTTGAGGCCAGTGTGAGCTACAGAATAATGCCCATCTCAAAAACACTCAGCAATAAAAAAAAAAAAATTAGTTTGATAAACCAGTGAATTTGTATAATGTGTTAAACAGATGCTCTAAATAAGACATGTGATGGCTTCCTCTTTTTTTTTTTTAAAGATTTTATTTGTTATATATGCAGTGTTCTGCCTGCATGTATGCCTGCAGACCAGAAGAGGATACCAGATCTCATTACAAATGGCTGTGAGCTACCATGTGGTTGCTGGGAACTGAACTCAGAACCTTTGGAAGAGCACACATTGCTCTCAACCGCTAAGCCATCTCTCCATCTCCTGGCTTCCTCTTTTAAATTACCAGTAATCGTAGAAAGTGAGTATTCCTCCCACCAATGTAGATTTCAGGGTAGTTTCAAGTGAGAAGAAGTGAATGTAGCGAATGGTTGTGCAGTATTAGCTTAACCTGGTGTGGTAGCACATGCCTCTAATGCCAACATTGGGAGGGGAAAGCAGGAGGCTCAGGAGTTCGAGGCTGACCTCATGGTGAGACCCAGTCTCATAAAAACACAAACAAGTACAGGGGATGTAGTTTAGTTGGTCAGGTAATTGCCATCATACACAAAGCTATAAGTTCAAGACCATTCTTGCCTTAATGCAGAGTTTTAGGTCATTCTAGGCTTTACGAGACATTTTCTCTAAAAATAAAATTAATTAAAAAGCAAACAACAACAAAAACAGGACCAGCAAGATGGTTCAACATTAAAGATACTGTCCACCAGACCTGATCGACCCACATGATGGAAGGAGAGAACAAACTCTGACCTGTCTGTGTGTCTGTGTACATTTGAGATGGCTAGGCCTGTAAGGAGCCTGATGTGACCCCTGAGTTTGATCCCCAGAACCCACATAAATGTGAAAGAAAGAACCCACTGGTCTCCACACATGCAGGGCATGTGAGTTGTGAAGAATATAAAGCTAATTGGTTTTCTGGTTTAAACTATTTCATGGTGGATAAGTGAATAAAACTGTAATTGATAGTGAAAATATAAAACCCTAAGGGAAGTGCCACAGCTTCAGAATGGCCATTCTAACTATGTTGGAAGTTCACTGAGATAGAGAATTTGGGACTGGGCAAATGTTAGACTAATCTGTTTGTATGATACTTTTATTTGTGAGTTCATTACAATAAAGTGGGTGGTTTCTTTTAAGTTTCTAAAAAGTAAAAGTAAAAATATTTGAACAAATATTTATAAATACTTTTAAGTTTAAGATATATGAATAATTATTGTGTATTTAAACTTAGACATATGTCTTTTTCTTTTTTGTTTTTTGTTTTGCTTTGGTTTTGGGTTTTTCAAGATAGGGTTTCTCTATAGCTTTGGAGCCTGGCCTGGAACTCACTTTGTAGACCAGGGTGGTCTTGAACTTACAGAGATCTGCTGGGATTAAAGGCGTGTGCCACCACTGCCTGGCTAGATATATATGTGAATATTTCATTATGCTGAATTTTTAGTTTTTGTTTGTTTTTGAGATTTTAAAAAAAATGTATGTGTGTGTGTGTGTGTGCCTGCATGAATTTATGTTCATCATATTCAAGCAGGTGTCCTTAGAGCTCAGAGGTGTCAGATCTCTGGAGCTGAGTATCATTGGTGTGTCCCCAACCCTCTGGTTTGGTATGTGCGCATCAGTTTTTGAGACAGAATCTTTTTTTTTTTTTTGGTTTTCCGAGACAGGGTTTCACTATAGTTTTGGAACCTGTCCTAGAACTAGCTCTTGTAGACCAGCCAGGCTGGCCTCAAACTCACAGAGATCCACCTGCCTCTGCCTCCCAAGTGCTGGGATTAAAGGTGTGCACCACCACTGCCTGGCTTTGAGACAGAATCTTACTGTATACCCAAGTCTGAAATATTCCATCTTTCTGCCTCAGCCTCCTCAACAGAGATTAATGGTGTGTGCCACCCATGCCTGGCTATGATAAGACTCTTTAAAAAATATCTCTAACTACCAGTATTTTCTTTAGTTAGTACTCGTCACCGTAATGAAGAAGTAGTTGCTAGAACCAGATAGAAGAGGAAGTATCATAATAACTATATTTATGGGTCCAGTTACAATGTCACATTTGTCACCCTACTACCGTTTAATTTTACAAATAAAGAAGGGTCTCAATAGAAAACTGGCCCAAGGTCACAGAGCTTGAGCTAAATACAGGTGGGCTTTGCCTGTGCAGCTTGTGACTATAAAGTCTGGTTCTCAAGTCCTTTGTTCAGTCAGCAGCCTGGTAGGAGAAATAGAAAGCTGTCAGGTCATTCTGGCTAACTCAGGCTAATTAAAAAACTGTCTTGAATAATACAGCAGCACAGCTCTGTAGCCTGTACTGTTCTCCATGATGTCTGACCCCAGAGCATTGGCATTTAGCAGGTAAGGGGTGTTGATCAGAAGTGCTGAGCATGATGTGGGCTAAGACTGCTAACTGTTGATTGTATATTATATGTCCTGTTTGCTGTCACCTTAGAGAAAGTTGCTATATGGTTTTTTCAGCATTGAGCAATTTATAGAGTATTAGAAAATAACATACTTCTTCTCATGCACATTTCTTTCTTTTTAAACATTTTATTTATTATGTATACAGTATTCTCAGTACTCTGTCTGCATGTATGCCTGCAGGCCAAAAGAGGGCATCAGATCTCATTACAGATGGTTGTGAGCCACTATGTGATTGCTGGGAATTGAATTCAGGACCTTTGGAAGAGCAGGCAGTGCTCTTAACCTCTGAGCCATCTCTCCAGCCCTCTTTTTTCTTTTTTTTTTTTAATATTTATTTATTTATTATGTATACAATATTTTGTTTGTGTGTATGTCTGCAGGCCAGAAGAGGGCATCAGACCTCATTACAGATGGTTGTGAGCCACCATGTGGTTGCTGGGAATTGACCTCAGGACCTTTGGAAGAGCAGGCAATGCTCTTAACCTCTGAGCCATCTCTCCAGCCCCCCCCTTTTTTCTTTTGCTTTATTTTTTTCCTGTTTTCTTTTTTAATCAGGGCTTCTCTGCCTGTCCTAGAACTCCTGTAGAGCAGGCTGGCCTTGGACTCGGAGATCTGGTTGCTTCTACCTGGGTTTAAAGACATCATGTACTACTAATGATTTTTTTCTTTGTGTATGGGATTCGTCTTGTAAAGAATGTTCTCTGGGCTGACGGAGAAATCAAAGATGATAAAGCCATTTTAGTTAATAGTGGAAGTACATAAGAGTTTTGTGGTAGCTGTTTGTGTGTGTGAGCACATGTGGGCCTAAGTGTGTTCACCCTTTGAGGCCATTGCCAGATGTCCTTAGTCACTCTCCACCTTACTTTTGAGACAGGGTCTCTTCACTAAACTCTGCTTGTGATTTGATTGGCAAATGAGTGGTGGGATCTGCCTGTCTCTGGCCTAAGGCTCCGAGATCACAGGTGTATATCAGTATCTTGAAGAATTAAAAGCATCGTTCTTTTCTACCTCATGAATTTTCAGCTTTCAGAGAAGGGGAAGCCATATGTTGACATTCAAGGGTTAACTGCTTCTACCATGGAAATCCTGTTGGACTTTGTGTACACAGAAACAGTACACGTGACGGTGGAGAATGTTCAAGAACTGCTCCCTGCAGCCTGTCTACTTCAGCTGAAAGGTACAGTCCATAAAAGGAGCCCTAATTCATGGCTCTATGCCCCTGGAAGTGTTTTTAATTGATGTAAAATTAATAAAGAGACTTTCAGAGAACCATCTAGAATCATGACTTTTGAATTTTGGAGCAAGAAAGATCAGGTGTATTTAAGAACAATGTAAAAGAAACTCTCCAAATATGAGTATTTGGCTCTTGTAAAAGAAAACATTTAAATTTTTCCTGTTTGTGAGAATATGGAAGAGCCAGTTGTGGTGGCTAACAGCAGTAATCCAGCATTTAGGAAGCAGAGACAGGAGGATTGTGTGAATTTCAAGCAGATTTAATCTATAAAATGAGACTGTGTCTCAAAACTAAACCAAAGGGCTGATGAGATGTCCAGTAGTTAAGAGTATGAGCTGATCTTCAGGGGGACCTGTGTTTGGGTCCCAGCACCCACTTGGTGACTCACAACTCTTTGTAACTCCATTTCCAGGGAATCTGATGCCCTCTTCTGGGCACTGGCCATGAACATGCTACACAGATACATGTGGGCAAAACACCCATACACATAAGTAAACCAAACAAAACATTTCTTTAACACATACATGCGTACATACTTACATAGTACTCATGTAAAAATTGCCAAGAAACTGATAGTATTTATTGCCTGCAGACATGCTGTCTGTTTACCATGTCATTGGATGGCTATGGGAATAAAGCCTAAGAGTACTTGTCGTTATAAACCTTTTTATATCTTTTTTGTGGGGAGGGGTTGTCCAAGATAGGGTTTCTCTGTGTAACCTGCCTGATTGTCCTGGAACTCACTCTGTAGAACAGGCTGGCTTCGAACTCACAGAGATCCACCTGCCTCTGCCTTCTGAGTGCTGGGATTAAAGGTGTGTACCACCATCGCCTGGCTACCTTTTTATATCTTTGAGTCTTGGAATCATGTAAAATGTCTTTTTTAAAAAAATCATTTAGGTTTATTTTTATTATTTTTTATGTGTATAAGTGTTCTGACCTTTGGTGACCACAGAGGTCAGAAGAGGGTATCAGATCCTCTGAAACTGGAGTTACAGGCAGTTGTGAGCTGTGTTCTCGATGCTGGGAACTGAACCTAGCTTATCTTCAAAAGTGACAAATGCTTTTAATGGCTGAGCCATGCTCCAGTTCCCTTTTTGGTTTTGGTTTTTAAGAGAGGGTCGTACTATATAACTGAGGTTGTCTGGGAACTCACTGGCCAAACTGGCCTTGAACTTAAGCATATCTGCCTGCCTCTGCCTCCTGAGAGCTGGGATTAAAGGCATGCGCCGCCATGCCTGTCTTAAAATATCTATTAAAAAATAAAGTTTACCTAGCACTTGGGAAGGATAGGCAACATAAACTATATAGGTAAGCCATGTCTCAAAATAAAATAAAATAAAATAAAATTTAAATTAATACGTAACAGTTATAATTTAATTTTCACTGCATTAATGCCCCCCTTCCAGTTTCCAGTTTGTCAGTGGTTTGTGTGTGTGTGTGTGTGTGTGTGTGTGTACTTATGCTTTATTTTGGTCTACACTGTATAGACAAGGCTGGCCCTGAGCTGTATCCCCGCTGGTCCAAATTCTGTCTTCTTGCCTCAGCCTCTTGAGTACTAGGATTACAGTTGTGGGCCAGGACAACTAGCCAGTCTGTCTCTTTTAACCTCCAATTATGTATATCCACATAATTGAAACATTCTTACTGTTGTTTGTTTGTTTTGTTTAGGTAAGTCTCACTGTGTAGTTCAAACTGGCCGTGAGTTTATGATCCTTCTGAATTGCTGGGATTTCAGGCACAAACCACGTTGCCCAGTCTCTAGTCTATATTCTCCACTTGTAATACAAGATTGAAGTAAAGTGGACACCCTCAGTACAGAGTTATAAAATTAAGTTTATGCAAGATAAGGTGGCACACACCTTTAACCCCAGCACTCAGAAGGCAGGTGCAGACGGATATTTGTGAATTTGAGTCCAGTCTGGTCTGTATCATAAGTTCCAGGCTAGAAAGGGCTACATAGTAAGACACTGCCTCAGAAAAACAAAACAAAAAGACCTGAGTTCATGCATTGCGCTTTTTCTTTTTTCCAGTGCCAGGGACTGAACCCAGGGCCTGTGCCGAGATGCTACACCAGCAGAGCTGCTCTTCTGTTGTGCCTCATCCCAAGCTTCTTTTCTGAGTTCCCCAGTTAGAGAATTATGGGATTGTTTTTCTTCACCGGAGAGGTGGTTTGGTTTTTGAGACAGGGTTTCTCTGTGTAGCACCCTGACTGTCTTAGAACTTGGTTTGTAGACCAGGCTGTCCTCTAACTCACAGATCCACCTGGCTCTGCCTCCCAAGTGCTCAGATTAAAGTGTGTGCCACCATACCCAGCCTCACTGGAGTTTTAAAATAAGTTTGATATAGGAACCAGAGAGATGGCTCAGTAGTTAAGAGCACTTTTCTTCCAGAGAACTTGGGTCCAATTCCCAGCACTCAACATGGTAACTCACAACCGCCTTTAGCTCCAGTCCTAAGGGATCTGACAAGTATGACCTCTTTGGGCACTGCATGCCATGGTGCATTTACCTACATGCAAACCTAGTACTTAGACACATAAAATAAAAATAAATAAATCTGAAAATGAAACTTTATATAGAGTAGAAAATAAGAGCGTTGTAATTTAGTGGCTGTTTTTAGATTGGTTCCAGTAGCTAAGAATTTACAGTTTCTGATGGCACGAGTGTCCTGGAAACTAGGTCGGACTTGCTACACTCATTTTAGAGATGAAGCAAAAGCAGATATAAAGGGCTTTTAAAAGTGACATAGTACATAAGACAGAGATAATATTGGAATGCCTTAACCATAGATTTTCTAATTTGTATGTTAAGGTGTGGAGCCAGTGTTCTTCTGATAACATGTAGAGAAGATGCTAAGATCCAAGAATGTGCAGCCGCTTCACCCTTGGCCAAGTATCCTGAAGTCTGCTCACTGCCTCTGTTTGTCCTAGGTGTGAAACAAGCCTGCTGTGAGTTCTTAGAAAGTCAGTTGGACCCTTCTAATTGCCTGGGTATCAGGGATTTTGCTGAAACTCACAATTGCGTTGACCTGATGCAAGCAGCTGAGGTTTTTAGCCAGAAGCATTTTCCTGAAGTGGTACAGCATGAAGAGTTCATTCTGCTGAGTCAAGGAGAGGTGGAAAAGCTAATCAAGTGCGATGAAATTCAGGTACAGCTTTGGCTTCTGTTACAGTTTCTTTAAAACTGAGCCATTACAAAAATTACAGAACAGGGTGGACTCACTGTGTCCATCCTATGACTTTATAATCATATACCCATATTATTGCCGAAGGTTTTAGTTTATTTGCATATTTGTGAGGGAAAAAGATCTGTTCCCTTTCCTTTATCAAATATACTTATTCCAGTGGTAAAAGTTAAATAAACAGAAATTGGGAATTAGGTGAATCTCTGTGCTATACTTTTACCCACCAGCTGTATAGTTTGTTTGTCGCGTATAGGTATAGTTAGACTGAAAACGGGAGTGAAGAATCCAGTAGAGAGCTGATGGATGTCTTTGAAGCAGATAACTTTAATCTCCAGTGGACTAGATCTTTAGTTAGTAGCTTCTAGAAAGATACTCAGAGCCCAAGTGCTGTGTTCTATGTACCTGTTGAGTTTTTTTTTCTCCACTGAAATAATTACCAGGCTTCTGTTCCTCAGTTTAGATGAGATGCATTAGAAAATATCAGGATTAATATTTTTTTATATGCTATATTAGAGTTTGCTACTTAAAGAAATTCTATGGCCAATCCAGGCTTGCTGTTGCACCTGTAATCTCAGTACTCAAGAAGCAGCTGAGACAGGAGAATCATGAGCTTGCCTTGGCAACGTAGTGAGACCTTGTCTCAAAAAGAAAGAGAGAGAGAGAGAGAGAGAAAGAGAGAGAGAGAGAGAGAGAGAGAGAGAGAGAGAGAGA